AGTACTTAGTATATTTATATTAGTATACTTTGTATATTTAAATGAATCTACACTTGCAGATAATATATTAATTTAAAATAAAAAATATATAATAATAAAAAGTGAACTTTGCAATGTTGTCACAATTAAAAGTTAGATTTTAAATTGTTCTTTTGTCGTGTTTTAAAGAAGTAGACATATTTTGATGTGTTGACTAACATATTAAAGCACATGTAAAAAAAAAAATATATAATTTTAACTCTAGTGTGTTATTTGATATTACATTTAAAGTTAATATACAGTACTTTGAGTACTAAATTTCAACTTGTACATTCATCAGTACATCAGTTTAACCATATGTCAAAGGCAATAAGTAATATTATTTATGAAATTACTTATAAAGATGTCTGTAAGCAGACAAAAGCACTTAATGCCAGCTAATCAAATTTCATTGAACTGAATTAACTGCAATACATTTTCATTTAATAGCAATTAAAATGCAATTAAGTGTCCAGAAACATTACATTCAATTCACACTCAAGCATTTTATTTGGTATATTATTTCCACAATAAGCATTCTCTGCTAATGTATGCCTAAAGTGTACTTCTTTTTCACAAGGCTTGTCATACTTGAAACTTTTAATAACATATCCCATTGAAGTATCCTTTTCTGTATCTCAAAAATACATGGTTAATCATTGGCTGTCACGTTCAGCTGCAGATTTGCTTGGTTGATTACTATTATTTAAATAATATACACATATATTTTTAAATAATCAAAATTATAAAACTGAAATATTGAAAACTGATAAAATTGTGTGTGTGTGTGTGTGTGTGTGTGTACATGTTGTTTTCTATGCCGGTGGGGAATTAAACCTGAATACACACTGACTCATATAGGGACTCTTGTCACTGTGTGGACCTAAATCGAGGTCCCCATGGGGAAACAAGCTTATAAATCATACAGAATGACGTCGGTTTTTTTTGTGGGTTTTTTTTGAGATTGTAAAAATGCAGAAAGTTTTCTGTGAGGGGAAGGGTTAGGTGTAGGGTTGGTTTAGGGCCATAGAATATACGGTTTGTACAGTATAAAAAACATTATATCTATGGAGAGTTCCCACAAGGATAGCAAACCAGACGTGTGTGTGTGTGTGTGTGTGTGTGTGTACACAGGTGTTAGGTAAAGAAAATCAGAAAGTACCACTATAACACCAGACTATACCCAGGCTGTCACTGGTGCTTAAATACACAAATAAACAGGTGCATGAAGCCCCTGCTATAAGTCTATACCTGATTCATATTAGAGTATATGCTGACACCGTAAGAACAGCTTGGCATATGTTGAGAACGCAGTAATGACGAAAACAGCTTGGTTGTGAAAAAGTAATACTGTAAATAGCTTGTTTCTCTGAGGACATTGCAGCCAACAGCAGCTGTGGGGCTATCAGAAAGAAAGAGGCAAGAGCAGTGTCAGATAAAGGGAAATCTATTCATAACTGAACATCTCGCTTACTGTAGTGCCGAGATTTACTGGAGGAAAGGTACTGGACCAAAGGTAAATTGTTACATATAAATGAAAATGGTCAAATAAATACTGTACAAGGTCCCAATAAAAATGATGTACATCTTGAAAGATCTAAGAGGAATTACAGTCAGTGCTATGCTAGGTAAAGTTGTTCTAATTGGTTGCAAGGGTGTTGCTAGGCAGTTGTGAAGCAGTTGTTAAGGTGTTCTGATTGATCATTGTGTAGAAACAACTTTAACTCAGAAATTGCCAGGAAATTTCACAAATAATTACAAAGAATCAGCAAGTACTCATCCAGCTAACAGGGAACATTCTCAAAACTTAACTCACAACTCAAATTTATGAAACAAACGTTCTTCCATGTTAATAGAACATTTGTTCAGAGTTATTGGTTACACTTTACCTCAATAGTCCACCATTCTACTCACTCTAAGTATCTTAGCAACTAAATGTTTTTAAATGTTACCAGTTTCAGAACATCTTGATAAAGAAGTAATATTCATAAGTAGCATTCCAATAATGTTTGCACAATTATAAAATGGAAAGTTCTCAAAATGTTTGCACTACCAAAAAGTAAAAATAAATAAAAAAAAAAATATATATAAGAAGAATTCAGTGAATAAGGCACATACTCTGTGATACATACTATACGAGTTCAGCCACTTACAGTCTGGCATGTTTTAATGGAAGCCTATTTAAAAAAAACAAATCCTGAGTTCAGAGATTTTGAAGGGAAAAAAAAAATCTGAAAAGTTTGTGCAATAACAATATGTTAGTTGGGTCAAGAACACAATGAAGCATCATTAATATATATATATATATATATATATATATATAGATATATATAGACACTCTCACTCAGCTGGCTATAGGATTGATTGACAGCTCCACCGGAGGAACCACAAAGCTCTTGCTGACTGGCAGCCAAAGGCCTTGACCCAGACTGTAGGATGACCTGCAGCGTGAGGGACACGAGAGTGTAACGTGTCAGCTGAATTTCAATGACCCTGTGGAACATGCTGCCTATTACAAGAAAGCCACACTGACCGAGAGAGGAGAAGATCTGTTCTCCACAGCATGCACAAATAAAGACCATCAAACTAGACAGTAGTTGTGTGCTAATGACATATCCAAAGGTCTTTAATAAAATAAAAAAAGACATTGAAAATATACACCACAAATCTGTAGAAACGATCCAATAAAGAAAAGGTCAAAGGGTTTGTATAATGGAAAATAGGATTTGTCACATTCTTCACAATGAAAGACTTCAGTGTAGGCATACTCTTCATTTCAGAAACTGTCGGCAAATCCACGACCTGTAAAATATCATTGCGACTCATTTGGTATGTGAAGAGTTTTAGCCAATCATACCACAAATATTTAATTTTGTCTTAAAGACACAGTAAGGGTCAAAGAGTGGGTGGCAGTGTTATTCTTGTTTTGATTTTGTTAATTAAAATAAAGCTGAAATTAAATAAACCTTTATTATTATTACTATTATTATTATTATTACTAGCATTAACTCTTTATTTGTAATGCAGATTAATGGATATGATTGCATTGTCTAGAATCTTAATTTCAATGAATCTAAAAATAGTTTTTCTCATTATTTACTCATCCCAATAAAGTTAATAAACAAACAAACAAACAGTGTAGGAAGAGACTGCAGGCTACCATGATGTTTTGTCTATTACTGAAGATTTTAAAAAGCATTACGATTCTTTAAATATCTTGCTTAAAAAAATCACATATGTGACATGCACAGTATATTAACTATGACTGACTAATTCATTATTTGTTTATTAGCACCATCATTATTTTGTTAAGGTAACTGAAGAGCTGAAATAATTAAGCTAATATAATACTAATTTAGCCAGTGAATTAATATTCTGTGAATTAAATTTGTATGATAACACCGCACTAAAGCTCAGGTCTGAGTCTGGCCGGTCGCTGACCTTGGATATAGACAAGCACATCTGAATTACTCTGGATCAGTGCGTACTTCCACTCATAAATAAGACAGCGATAGCCCAGGCCTTGCTCCGGCCCATCAATCGACACTTCGGAGGGCATCGATTGCTTTCCTCAGTCCACTATCAGTCAACTGCTGCCAGCTGAACTAAATGGCTTGAGTCGTCAGGTGGTTAAGAGTGATGACAGCTTGGGTGAGTAAGAAGAGAGTGAATGGATGATATCAATTTCATTTATTTTCACCTTAACATTTAGAACCAAAGGAACAAAAAATAAAAAAATCTGCTTCAGGCTTGTAGTCTGAAAATGAGGAAAATAATGGAATAGATCTTTGTGTTTAATTAACGAGAGACAGAGTTTAATAGGGAGAATCAAAGTGAGATATTGTCATCACATCAGCTAATTTGTTTTAGTTAAAATTGCTGAAACTATATGGGTGTCACGGGTTGCTACTGTGAGGAGCACAGAGCGAGGAACGAAGAGACCAGGAGTACAAAACAAAGGAGTTTAATTGTCTTTTTCAGGGAATCACACGTAGCACAAGGAGATGACATAAACAATTCCAGACAAAGAGACTCAGAACAGGCTAGAACTAAATAGGGCAGATAACGAGGGGCAGACAGGTGAGGAGGATGACTAATAATGAGACACCTGGAACAAATCAAACTACATTGGGACAGGAACAGGAAGGACCAAATAAGGAAAACAGGAACTCAACGGGAACATACACGTGACAATGGGTGGGCTGCATGACAAAATCCCAAAATATTTAATGGTATGAGTAATTTTATATCACAGTAACTGTATATATGACAAGATGCAAAATAAAAAAAAATATATATATTTTTTATATACATATATATATATACATACATACACACACACACACACACACACACACACACTGTCTATATTAAATGCCGCTGGATTAACTACATTTTGCATTAACACACATGTTCTTTCTCATCTTGACATGTTTCACTTTTATGTGTATAAAACTTAAAGCAGAAAAAAATGGAATATGTGACTCTGCCTGCCTTACATACAAACATTTCACTGCAGTTTCCAGCTGAAATGAACACTAGAGGCAGTAAAATGCCAACAACTTTTGCTTCTGTGTTATGCTATACTACGGTATAAGTACAAAACACTTTTATCCTAATGGATGATTTTTAAATGAATACAGTTTTATGTTTGCATCACATAACCAGGTTTTCTGACATAGTGAATTTGCTCGGAAGCGCACCCGGTACAGCATTGCACTTGCAGTGTGAAGCACTTGGGTGTGATAAAAGAGATCAAAGACTTGTAGACGAAAACTAAAATAGCATGGTTTCTTCAACAAATGTGTTTTTCTTCACATTTGCTATTATTGGTTTAGGATTAGTGTCGGTGGTACACTATTTTCAAACACGAAATGCGTTAACCTTTTAGCACTCACCGGACATTTTATTTCCGAATTGCAGTGCATTATCCAACGTAATAAAATGTTGCAACAATCATGTTTAATTGTTTCAGAGAAAATGGAACACACTATTTAGTGCCATGAAACAGCAAAGCACATAGCTCTTTTTGCAAAAATGTACTTGGCTATGTAAATGTACTTGCTTATAGCACCTCTCGTGGAAGTGTCATCTAAAAAGTGGCAGGAAATGTACCTGTATTTTAAGTTTTGCAGAAATGTAGGAAGAGTCACATATTTCCAATGAGCTTGGTTAGAAATATCAACATGCATCATTCAGACTGCAGTCAAGCTTGCTGCAATCCATGTGACGAGTTACATCGGATATTTTAAGGGCAGAAGCTTTTCAGTCTGTCACTCCTGCAGGACAGAAACATTGAGAAATCCAAAGTGACGTGCTGCGGTTTGTGACCTGTCCTCGTTCCCTTTCTATCGCCACCATTTTCTCAAGGACATGAAAAATAAATATACGGAGCCACTAAACACTAGACCCTGCTTTAAAACAGAAAGAGGCCCAGGGCTCCAGTAAAGCTCCCTCCTCTTTCAGGTGGAACATGCCTAGGGCAAATCCTACCAGGAAACCCACAGTGCTGCCCCGCAGGCAATCTGTGAAGTCCTGTGTTCAGTATGAGGGCAACTGACAGCAGGCGGGGAGGCCCTGCCTGGACTGGGACACCCCGGGGATTGTTGTGTTCAGCATGGGACCTTATTTTGGAAGACAGACAGGTGGGGAGGGTCTGGTTCTTACCTGAAAATCTTCTCTGGAGCCTGCTCCCCTGTGACAAGGTCATAGCCTCTTTCCAGGTTTGAGTAAGGCCACGGTCTGTGGGACGAACACACAAAAAAGGCTTTGTGAGTATAAATGCTAAGGGTTTTAGCTAAAAAAAAAAAAAAACAACGGAAAAACAATAATAGTAACAGTAATTAACTAAATCAGGGGTGTCCAATCCTGCTCCTGGAGAGTTCCCAATGCCCTGCAGAGTTTAGCTACAACCATAAATAAATACACCTGAACCAGCTAATCAGGGTCTTCAGGATTACTCGAAACTTCAGGTGTTGCAGCTAAACTCTGCAGGAAGGTGGCCCTCCAGTTTCAGAATTGCACAACCTTGAACTGAGGTTTCACATTTTCTGAAGAGAATGTCAGAGGCGCTTATCTGAAGTGGCGAAAAAGTCCATTACGATGCTAGGATGCTGCAGTATTTCTAAGGTGTTGCTAGGTGGTTACTAAAGAGAACTGGGTAGTTGTTAGATGCAAAACTAACCACTATGATTCCACAGTGTTGCTATCCAGTTGCCATACTTTACTTTCCGATACAATCATCACATATTAGATCAAACTGGGGTTGTTCAAAAACATTTATATTTTTCAGCACAGCTTAACGTGCTTAAACGTGTCATATCCTCCGGGTTTGAGCGCAGTGACTGGACTGCATTATATTGTCGATAAGATGGTGATTAATCATAATAAACATGGTGCAATAATAAAAACAATAACATTAAAAATAAAATGAAAACATAAAAAAATCGAATGTGAAAAAGGCCTGCTTGCTTGAGTGAGTTCATTCCTCACAAACCCCCTGTAGTTTCTTCATGAAACCCAGTTTGGGAAACCTGGATATGATGTAATATTGTTAATAATAATGAATAGAATACATTTTCTTTCTCTTTGTATTTTTATATCCATATGGTACAAGAGTATCCTATTCAAATCAACGTAATAAACGAGTTGGGTCAAAATAAATCGAAAAGTAATCTAAAGTAGTGCAATTTTATTACCTAGAATGTATAATTTAATAGATTATGTTATTACAATTTTTACAATTTCTAAGTCATATACGCAGCACTGTCCTATGTTGTGTAAGTCTCAGTCTGGAGTCGATTTCTGGGCTGAAAGTTCTGGTGTTGTTTTATTAGCCCAGCTGTTTGCATGAGTGAGTTCATTAACATGCGCCGCAAGAGTCAGGAAGAGGAGTTACTACACTTGGCATGAGGTGAGGTGATGAATCACATCTCTCTCTGTGTTACAGTCTTTCTCTTGCCCCTCCTCATCTCCCTCCTGTCCTGGCTTTTAGTTCAGCCTATTTGTGAGGCGTTGACAGAGTGGTTTGCAGCACTCACCCTTCATTGCGGCCCCAATCTGTGCGGACGCAGAGATGTTTATGCTCGGGGTCAGGGGCATAACCTTCCAGACAGCTGCATTCCCCTGCAGAGAGCACAACACAGTGACAGATTATGTTCATTTATCCCTCTGGCAAATCAACCGCATGTCCACGTGGCACCCAGTGCTTTCGCACACACATGGATTCGCTCCAGACAAAATGCTTTCAAAGTACAGTTTGTCCTATATACAGTCAAGCATGGGTGTCGCTAGGCCATTTTTAGGGGGCTATAGCCCCCCTAAAATGATTACTCAGCCCCCCTAAATATTTTGCGATTAGCTACATAAACTGTACACGAATTCGTGATCGTCTCAGTCCCCTTTAAATTTCATATGAAAACGGCGGCAGACTTCGGCTCCTCCCCGTCTTTCAGCGCGTTCTTCATTCCGCAGAGGCGCAGAGCGAGAAACAGAGGACAAGGTGTGTGTTTATCGATAGATTGTTACAATATCTGCATCTGTGCAGTTCTTTGTCATAAAGACAGTTTACAAAATATCATGGGGGAGCAGTCAGTCTTCCATTGCCATTTTTATTTGAAAATTTTACTTTTAATATAAAACATATTAATTACAGTGCATATGGCAAATAGTTTTGCATACTTGAGCTAAAGAAAGAGGGTTGTACTAGAAATTCAAGCAGTAAAATTTTGTTTGTACAGCAAACAGGTGTGTGTGTGTGTGTGTGTGTGTGTACCTACTTAACCATATTTTGGGGACAAATTTGTACCCAAAAGTGAGCTAAACATGACAAAATCTCCAAAAACCTCCCTTTGGGGACGTCCTCATTTGTAAAACTGGTATAAAAATAAAGTAAACAAAGTTTTTTTAAAACTGTAAAAATGCAGAAAGTTTCCTGTAAGGGGTTTAGGTGTAGGGTGATAGAATATACAGTTTGTACAGTATAAAAACCATTACGCCTATGGAATGTCCCCATTTAGATAGCTAAGTAAACGTGTGTGTGTGTGTGTGTGTGTGTGTGAGAGAGAGAGAGAGATCAGGATTCAGGAAGTCTTGTATGGCTTATTCAGTACTCAAATGCTATACCTATCTATGCAGTACAGTGGAATACAATAAGTTGCAAAATGCAATAAGTTTAGTTTACCACCTTACCCTATTAGTCAATCATTTTGTATTGTATTTATGTTTACTATTATTTTTTATTATTATACCCTCATTGGGGGCTGAGCCCCCCTAAAACGAAAATCTTAGAATCGCCCCTGCAGTCAAGTCAAGTGGGAAGAGTGACATGAGCGAGCTGCTTCTGTCTCTGACGCCTTCACTATATCTTGAAAGATATCACAGAGCTACTCAGCTCTCAGAAGGTGATGCTAGGAGCCGAGGATACGAGAATGATACAGCTCCTCTGGGAAAGAGGGATCGTGGGGTGAATCTCAAGAATGTCATAATTGAAATCAAAAGCATGACTTCAATGAATATACTGTTGTATTGTGTCATGTATGCATGGTGTGAAAGTCACTGAGGCAATAACAATGTTGTATGATAACACAAATACTTTAAATATATTTAAATATCAATTCATTTAAATATCAATATCAAAAAGGGGAAAGTATTGCCATGTATTCATGTTAAAATTACAGAGAATAGAAGCTTATTTTTGCCACAAATTCAGATTTTATATATCACAGTTCTGAGATCATATTTTGCAATTCAAACTTTGTTTTTCTCTCAGAATTATGAGTTTATATCTCACAATTGTGAATTTATACCTTGCTATTTCTTTTTAACCATTTGTTTATTTATGTTCCTTCCTTCAAACAAGCTTCTATATGAGAGTGAATAAATGATGAAAGAATTGTCAATTCATTTTTTAATTAATTATTTTGTTTATCGATTTTTTTGTTTTTGTTTTTAGAGATTTAACTTTTTGGAAGACTGTAAAACTATTCTGTATATGTGTATGCATTCATCTCTTTTAGACATGAGCTCTATAAACGTCGATAACATAGAACAACTTTAAAAAATATATATAGTAATAATCAGCATGCCTTAGATATACTTTAATATATTCAGAAGAAGCTTTAATATTTGTTTCTGGTCCTGTTTATTTCTGTCATCAATGTAACAAATCATACAGTAAAATTTCCATTGCCTGCTGTCTTGCTTTATTCATGCATATGGAAATCAAGATACTTTCTGGAGTTGCCTAGAGTTTGCAAGCTTATGATTCATAAAACAAACCGAACAAAAATATAAAAGTGACTTAGGAAATTTAAAACATACTCTAACTAGCATACTCTTCAAATTAAAATAAAGGCCTAATCTGAAAAGCAAGAGCAATCAGATAAAATCAAGTGTACTTCACTTGAATATGAAGGATAATTTCAAAATCAGCTCTGGCTGGAGGGGAAACGAAACAATGAGAAAAGTCATTTTACAAACCGCACAGGCAGACATTCATATTTCATGAGCTGGAGCAACGGATATTAGAAATAATATGCACCCATCTGTACTCCTACCATGATAATGATATTCATCCTATTTAAAAGCTCCCATTTCACGGCTTATTCTTGTGAAAACAAGCACATTTAGGCACATATTGCACTGGAACAAACAGAGAAAGTGAAGTAGAGGATGGACAGGCCAATGGCGGCCAACCGTAACTAACATACAATAATGACCAATAGAAGTAATCTATTGCAATTTATTACACAGCTCCCTGCAATACCCGATTCAGCAGTTATTACTATACAAAATGCTAAAGAAATAAATTATTTGCAAGTTCTTCTTTCAGTATTCATACTGAAATATTTTTCTTAAATATAACATCAATAAAATTTTTACTTGCACTTCCAAAATCTGAATATGTAAGGGGTTTTTACAGATGTAATAAAAAGAGACAAAAGCAAATACATGGGACATGGTGGTGGGAAAAATACGGCATGGGAGGAAAAAATATTTTTAAAATCTTAAAACTCTTGAGCTCCACCGAGAAACTTTTCATTCACAATGGAGCAGTTTTATTTTGAACTTGGAATCAAGTATAAAGAAATATATATTTTTTTTAGTTTTGGGACATTCTGAAACGTTTAACGTGGCTTAATGTACTAAAAAAGTGACACTGGAGGTCCAAATTCAGTACACACCTTATTAATAAAGCATACTATTCACAGACAAGCAGAATAGCCCAGAATATGAACAGAAAGTGCTAAATTGCACGTTAAGCACCACCCATAGAAGCTGTTATAAAGAAAATGATTAACATGGCTTAATGAACTTGCGAGAGAATGCAAATATATTTTTTTCCTCCTACCCCGTATTTTTTCCACCACCATGTCCCTTTTATGAACCGCCTAGTAGTGGCACTTAACAAAAAGACATGAAAAAGAAATAAAAAAAAAGGAAAGAAATAAAAATGTCTGGCAGTTTGAGTGAAACTGCACACTCAGACATAACAGAAGCAATTAGTTTAATAGCAGTGTGCTTAATAATTCATTTGCTGTGAGCGCATATGCATATGCCAGATACCTGCACCATCAAATCTGCGTGGGAGCAGCCCTTCTGTTAGAAATGGCAGAAAATGAGCCTTTCCATCTTTTAAAATGAAGGCTCAAATGCACTAAAACGTTCCTACAGCACTAAGTGCTGGTCCTGCAGATGATTTGCCAATTATTCTGATTTAGAGGTTTCAATCAAACGGCTCTCAATGACGATTTGAGCTACTGTGCAGGTAGATTGCCTATAAATGGTCGTCCTTCGAAGGCATGTGAGGTTATAGGCTCTCTGAAGAGAGTTTGTGTATGCGATAGAGACTTGGAGAAGTCATTGAATTTTTTTGAACTAAGTTGCAGAATGTTTTAAGAGACTCTCTTTGAAGGACTCATGTTCACACTTAAAGAAAACTGTACAAATAACATGTAACATTCAAGGGTTCTTTACAATGCATGCGATATGTGTTTTCCTCAACGTTTCTGAATGCCTTGACTCACTCTAGTGTACTCAAATATTGCAGGTTACCAGAACGAAAAATGTTGACTGTATTATTTAGCAAAGTTACTTCACTGTGAAGCTGGATGGCTGTTTTGATCTTACATTTTACAGTGCACACAAAAAAGTGTCATTCACTCAGCATTTAATTTCTTTGGCGTTTAATATTTCTTGATTTGTTGTTTTAAGATTTTACTTTCATGAATTTCACCCATTTAACAGCTAATTGTATTATGTGTTCTTAACATTGGTTTTCATCTAAATAT